GGCTCTAATTGTATTTCACTTGCTCATTATTCTGCAGTAGCTTTACAAATCCGCTCTCAGATGTCACGTACACGGCTGTTTCGTGTTTGATTTGCTTTCAGAAGTGTCTCAGAAAATTGTATGAAAATGTTTAACCTTCCAGAGATTTGTTTGACTCTTATACCTGTGACGTTTGTGTGCTTCCCATCAGTCTTTTGAGAGTGATGCACCCAGTCGAAGCGCAGCTGTTTCTGAGCAGAAGTCAACCAAAGGCTTCCAGCGTTTCCTCGACGTGCTAAACAAGGGCGTGAATGTCGACGTTCTCACTAAGATTGTGACTCAGGCCTCGGACGACGACGATCAACCCGTTTCTCAAACCTTATTACCGAGCCCTGCTGATCATCTGTGGTCTCCAACTCACAATGCTGGGAGGAATCAAGGAAGCCACCAGGATAACAGCTACTGGAGTGAAAGCGAAAGGTCCCGCAGACCAGTTTCCCCGGAGACTCATCGAAGGTCCATCAGCCCAAAACGGTGCCCACTCTCTGATGAAAAGCCCCTTCAGGGGAATGATGGCAGGGAAGCCTACTTCCGCAGCAGATCCAGGTCCCCCTTGGTGGTGGAAAGGGTGCCGCTGCCACCTGAGGATGAACACAAGCGTAGGCAAATGCAGGATGTGCTGCAGGCCATTGGCATGGATTTGGGATTTGAAGAGCTTGGCCAAATGTCTCATAGAATCCAGGAGCGGCTGTATGGAAAGAAGGATGGTGATTTGGCTCGGAAAGTTGGGAGGGAGAAGGGCACGAGGCGACCGATTTCCCCGAGACGTCAAAGTAGAGCATCATCATCATCGAGCAGATCTAGTTTTAGCCCCTTAAATCAGAATTATTACAGTAAAAAAGACTCGTACAGTGCAGAGAGGGACGTAACAGATGTGCATCAAGTATACAAAACTGCTGAGTATGACCAGAAGACGAGCAGCAGCACAGGACAGGACAGTAAGAACTGCGAAGGGAAATCTCAGGAGAGCGCTGCTGCATTACAACCATTTTCTCCTAATTCCTCATACCCTTCATCCAAACCTCCATCTGCTCCGGTGGTGCCGACGTACCCTCCGGTCAACTGCTCACCGATGCCATACCCACCTGTCCCGCCAGCTGTGCCTCCACCAATGCCCCATGTTGGGCCGGGGGTTATTATGCCACCCTTCGTCCCGTACCCCGGCCCCCCGCCTATGAACATGTATCCAACCATGCTCCCGCAAGCGAGCCACATGTTCCCGCATCACGTTAATCATCCACAGCCGCCGTATTTCAGCCAATCAAATGTAAGTGCAGTTCAGCCAGTGAACACAACGCAAAAATCCAAACCACCGACAAGGCCCCGCTGTTTGCAGGTTATTCAAACCAAAAAAAAGGCTAGATAAACGAGGCTGCGCAGGATGGAAGTGAGACTTTGAAAATGACTGATGGAAACAGCTGGGCCTTCAGGGAGTCTATTTTTAACCACAAAACACGCGTTTGAAGCATCAGAAAACATCACAGTGAACATTTGCAAGCAATCAGGCCAGCAGCAACTAAGAGAACAACACAATGACATTATCAGCTACTGTATCGTGAGTTTGATGACAAACTGTAGGTGGTGCTGCAGCTCTTCTTGATTCTCGGTCTGCTCTCATACCCATCACACATTCACTAGTCTGCCACAACATTAAAACTGCCGACAGTGGAAGTAGAAACAGCTCGGGTCCTTGAATTCACACGGATGCTATTTTGACATTGTTACAGCGTTGATGCAGACCAGGCATTGGGCTGATGGCAGCAGCCTCCTCTTGTATGGCAGTGCAGCCCGTTATACTACAACAAGTTATTAAGCCAGCCTACGAAGCTGGACCACCGTAATTCTCCGAGGCTCACAGGACCCAAAGGATCCACTGCAGCGTCCGCTCGGAGGTCCTGCATGCATGCCTGGACTCCTCAGGCAGTATGAAGCAGGTGGTTTTAATGTTGTTTGGTTGGTGTAGCTTATAATAGCCCGGTCATTCTAGGAAAAAAATAAATAAAACAAATACTGAAAGTACAAAAATGTGTTATTTTGTTAAAGTTTTACTAAAATTTGATGCATTTTATTTTTGTGGACATCATATTTGTCTTTATATAGGAGCCTTTATGTTCATTAATTAGTTCAAAGGCCAACCTACAACTACAAGACATGCTCTACACTTCTGTCTCTTTACATATTTTTCTTATTCTGTAAACATGCAGAAATTTGCTGTATAAATATTGAACTGGATAATATTAAACAAAAAAGCAAATACTTTGACTGTGTACTGAGTTATTGAACGAGTACAGATTTACTGTGGCGCTGTTCTCGCCACAACTAACTAGAAAGGCTCTGTAATAGAAAATATGAATTTCCAATTTTGTTTTTAAACAATGATTTAATCAATGAATTTGACTGACGTTTTAAACCCACAGCACATTTCTTTTACAGGAGAAAAAAGCCTTCGGCCAACGAGAGAGGCGAAACTGGTTTCAGCTGTTAACCTTCAGTTCAGCAGCAGATAGGAATACAAATGTTTTTTTTAAAAGCTTTATAAAATCATGTTAAAATGTCAAAGGTAGGGGAAATTTATTTGAAATAATTTATAATTATTTTGGTTAAAAGGTTTAAATTATAGAGACTCTATAAGATGCTCGATAAGCAATACTACTCAAAAATGAAATTACCGTTATAGCAGCCAAAACATGAAAAAGTACTTTGGTCAATAAAATAAATGAATATAACAAATTAGTTCACAAAGTAACAAATTAGAATAAATAATGACATTTTCAATATAAAATTAGAGCAGTAATATTGAATAAAGTATGTGGATATATTTCTAAAAATGTGATTTTTAAAATAGAGCCAAGACTCAACATGTAACTTTAAATAATAGTAAGGTGAAGTTAATCATAATAATAATAATAATGATGATAGCCTTATTTATGGAAAAAAACCGTGTATACAAAATGCTTTGAAGCAAAATACTAACTTCAAACAGAAAAGATCAAATCAGAGCTTTTAGGCTCCAGACCCTCACGACCCTGAAGGAGGACAGTAAAGGATGAATGAATGAATGTATGTGTGTATATAATGAAGGGAAATATACTGAGTGAAGAAAAAGGCATGTTGCAACTGTAATTTTTTCTCTAAGGTTTAATCTCAGGAATAATGGTTCAATACATCGTCATAGTTAAAGAATTATGAATCTAGAGAGCATTTACAAACAGCTAAAAGGTGCGGAGTAATTGTCAGTTTAAAACCATCTGAGGCTGGAGTCTGAAGGGCAATCTTTAAACAGCGATAATGAAATGTTTTTGCTTCTAAATGCATTTATTTTTATAAATAGTTTTATTTAGTAAGTAAATTTATAAAATGATAATTCTTTGCAAATGTAGCCCAGGAATCTTTTTTTTTTTCTCCTGCAGTGTCAGTACTCTGTCCTGCAGGGGGCGCTGCTGTCACATTTCACTCACCTACACCACCGAAGCAGTGTGATCAGTAATGGCCTCTTTCTGTTAACACCAGAAGCTCGTTTAGCTTTAATGGTTTCCATTTTTTTTCTACCGAAACGTCATTAATGTTGGAGTTTCGCTGTTCTTGGTCCGAGTGGCTCTTAGCTTAAAAATGAAAAATCTTTCCACGATGTAAAAGAAGAAGCTCTCGTTTTCCACGGCAATAGTAGGTGACCAGTCGGTTGTTTTTTTTTTTTTAGCAACGATGCTAAGTTGTGTAAACACCTTACAGTATGTTAGACCGACTGTCCACACGTTAACGAGTGTGATGTGACGGCTGCCGGGTTTGGTTGTTACTTGGTTACTTTGGTTGGCTCTGTGTTTGCTCATTAGGAGCGTTCATGTAAGCTAACGCTGAGGGTTTTGCTGTGAAACTGAAATAAGCATAAAGACAACATGAAAGCTCGAAGCTAGTCTTTGTGTTTACATTATGGGAGGATGTAATGGCTTCACAATATACATACACATCTATCTTTACCCATACTTGCTGCATATTTCTTACTTACCGTTTCTGCTTTAGACACTTGGAGAGACTGCAGAATGAATCAACGTGAGTGGAAAGATGCTGTCCACAGACTCCAGAGACTTCTGGAGCCGAGCCGCCACAGCATGGGGAATGCCTCCAGAGGTTACAGAGAGTGGGACACTTACCATGAACACTCGAGATATACTGTTCCTGAACCACATAGGAGTGATGTGAGGTGGAAAGAGCTCAGTTCTTCATCTCATCATGTTCATAGTAAAGTCCCAGAGGTGGAGAACCCGGACGGAGAGCCGCTGCCATACAGTGAAGAGGATGTAGAGCTAGCAAGAAACAAGCAGCTCCTCAGAGAGATGGAGGAGAGAATGCACAAGAAAGCTACACTCGCCATGAAAACGCGGTTTGTGGAGACACCACCGGGTGTTTCCGGTGACGAGCCTCCGGCTATGTGTGTAGGTCAAACTCTAAGAGACAGAGTGAAGGAGATTCTGATGCAGCGACAATACCTCAGCTATTTCTCAAAGGTGAGGAGCACTGAATAAACTCTCAGAGTAAAGTGTGTTTCTTTTTTTGCACGACCCACCTGATCCCCTTAGAATCAGATGTTTTGGTTCTTTTTTGTTTTTGTTTATTTGGATAACAAAAATATGACCTTCATATTATAAATACTTGAGATTTAGATGAAGTAGGGTACATAGGATTTTTGCCTTATTTTTTTTATACAAGAAATATCTACATGAGATTTTCAGTGCTGAAAAACACAGGGCCTAATATAAAATAAAAGAAATGAAACCTCATCACTTGTAGACTCGTACTGACTCACTGTCACAATTTCAAAAATCTCGTTCATGTGTAAAGCTTTCTTTTTCTATTATTCAGGTGCAGTCGGCCAGAGAGAGAAGGAGCTCCTCCTGCCTGAGCAAAGGCGATGTGCTGCAGGAACAGCATCCTCTGAAGCTCAGAGTGAAGGTTCTAATGAAGAAGAGACACACTGCTGTACCACCTTACAGTGAACAGGTATGTGTCATGAAATCAATATCCTTAGTATCCTTATTTTCCTACTATATTGTTTTATGTACTTTAATAATGAAGGCTTGTAGAGCAAGGCCACTTTTGACTCACAAAGTGCTTAGCCAGACTGAAAAACAGGAAGTTTTAGTGCACAGGCATATTAATAGAAAAGACACAGAAAAGAGGAACTTTCGATATAAGCAATGTTTGAAACTGTGTGACGTGTAAAGTACCAAAATAAAACCTATATGAGGCACAGTTTATGATTCTAGTGTTAGAGATCCTGCAACTGGCGTTTGAGCTGTGCAGGGGTCTCTCTCTTCCGGAAGATGATTGAATAAAAAGAAATATA